CCCTATCAAGCATAGCTTCTTGCAGTTGTTGGATGTTTGTCTTTGTATCAGCTTTGATGGTATCAAACCAGTGAGTTCCTGATCCACTAACCATTCCTAGTGTCATTGACTTCTTCAGTGAATTGGAAAGTTTGGAAAAGAGGAGGCATTAAATTTAATCTAATGAATAACTGCATAGGAAGTGTTTCAGAGTATGACTCATTGGTAAATCCCAGAATCTTTCAAAAGAAAAGCCAAGTAAAATCTAATATTGATATTTATTTCTGCAGACTTAATGGACAGAATGGAAATAACTGACTATTGTCTTCTTCCAGGTTTATTTGATTTCCTAGTTTGATTGCTTGTAGTCTTCACTCCAACAATTAACCAGGACTGGCCCTGATAGCTTCCAAGCAAAAACCTGGATACTCGCCTTTGTTGAGGTTTAAATATATGCTACAGTTTAAATTATCATAAAAATACATGATTGAAATAATTAATTAATGCACAAATCAAAATTTTCTTTAAATTGTTATTGAAATTCCTTACTATTTAGGTTAGTGGTTCAAATCACCTTTATTTATATTAATTCAGTCTGGGGTTACAGCCTGTTTCTCAGCTGTAAGCGAAAACCCAAGATACTTGATAATTTTGTAAAGAATCTATGGTATTTGGATCCAAAAACAAAGAGTGTTCAAAAGGGACAAACTAGAGATAGACCTTTTCTTTATATTAAACATATATACTTTCTTTCCAAAGTCATTGAGTTCACACTTTACTGTCAAGCAGTTTTTAAAAGTGTCTGCCTTGAATACAAAAGATTGGAAAATTTATTTCTAGACAATACTCTAAGAGAATGGACATCCCATTTATTTTCTGTAATGCCTGCAGTGTCAGTTTAAATGGCTTTCATGATTGGAAAACATTGAATTTTGGTAAGATGCAATTTGGCAAACTTGCTTCCTGTCAGGACATTTTTCAAGAGAGTAAGATTAGTTGAACCCTTGAGTGATAATGAATAGGAAGAGGTGCTCTGATCTTGACCAAAAGTTTGATAAAATAATATTGCATAGTATTGAGTGGAAAGCATGAATTCTAAATTCACACAACATGCTTAACCTGATTATTCAATTAACTTATTTTCTAGATTCACTGAATAGAACAAAGCATAAAGTAACCATATAGGTTTGCACAGTACATTAAGCCAGTTAAAAAAAAAACCTAAAACCATAACAAGGAAACACCGAAAGAATTTAATGCTAACCAAAATAAGCATGTTTTGCGAATATATCCAGTCATTTTTAGTTATCTGGCTAAGTGTGATGTACAAACCCATATCCATGTATGATGTACAAACTTATTTGTCTGGGTTCCAAATCAAGGCAAATCATATCATAGTTTTGTTTTAGATTAGTATATTGTATGAACTAAGCCACTGTGGCTTGTTAGACACATCATGGTTAGAACAAAGCATGTCATGGGTGAATCCATTTTTTTTTGTTAAAGGACTTTAAACTTTTTCATTTATGTCCTCTCCTTAATATTGTCTTTATGCCAATGAACATAATTACTATTATATTAATTTACAAGGAGTAATCCTAATAATTACCCATAAATGTAAAAGAAGATGGGTTGCTGGGAAACCACAAAAGAAGTGGAATATTTCTATTTCAAACCAGGTTTGTGAGCTTCTATTTGGCCATTCTTTGACAGAATTCTATACTATAACAATCTAAGGATAATTATGACAATGATAAAACCCTGTCTATATATCACTTCTCATCAAAATCCAAGGTAGAGCCACTGTTTATGATGAAAAAAATGTGAGCAATGCTATTTCTCTTATCTGCACCAAAAACACTGAATTTGGTGTGTCAGATGGAGAAAGGTGATTGTGTGATAACTTCCATTAGGTTTAAATTTGTGGAAATAATATAGAACATATAGTAACTGTTGATTTTTTGCACATTTGTTTTGTTTTGAAGGACAAGTTGCATATCTTCTCTATGTATGATCTTTGTTAAATTCAACAATAGAATGTAAAGACCAAATTGGCATGCTTTGACATCACAATACAGTGATTTTTATAATACTCAAGAGTATGCAACATTTTGTCAACTCACTAATAAAACTGTTTTATGCTTGACTACTTGGAATAGGCATTATATTCTCCAGCTAAAGACACAGGAACATATGCAAATCGCTTGGAAAATACTTTGTATGGAGCTTGGGCAATTTTTTTTGCTGAAATTACTTTTTAAGTTTCATTTTCAGTTATGAGCTGATTACCCTTCAAGGAAGTTGTCCTAATTAAGTTAAAGTCTTAACATTTCCTTGTATCTTTCCTTTGCTAGCAAACATTTCTTAACGTAACAGCTTGCTACATCTGCAATGAGCAGCTTTGCAAAGCAGCTCATTGTCCTTTGCAATCTTCATTTTGCCTATAGCTGTTATTTAATCCAAGCTGTCAATTTGAGGTAAATTAGTTGCTGCTACTGACCAAGCAGAAATAAAGGGTTCTGAGATATTACCCATGAAATCTGGTCCTCGTTGTGGAACAACTGCCATGAGGTAGCTAATTATAAACATGCCATGTAATGTCAATGGTGTGAAGGAGTTTTCTTGCAATCAATCAATATTACAATATTTTATATTGAGAGCTATGTTGTGGAGATGATGGAGCATCTCATTATATTGTAGAGATTGCTGTGGCACTGATCAGATTTTGTAACGCGATGTTATGATGCATTTTGAGAGGATCATCAACCGCTTGTGATTTGCCTTTCATTTATTAGCACTTGCTCCGTTAGAAAAGGGATTGTTATTCTCTATCAGGTATGCATGATTTAAGGATGGAAAGGAATGATGGTTTCTTATTACTTCCTGGAAGAAACATGTTTGAATTTTTACTGTCCCAATTCTTATTGTAAGGGTTGATACAATTGCTGCTCAGCTTCTCAGAAATTTGAATTTGTCCAACAAAATATACATACATACATACATACAATGAATGAACAAACAAACAAACAAACAAACAAACAAATAAATGTGGACAGCTCTATAATAACAAAGGCCACCCTTGGCATTGACCCAGTGCTTGGCTGGGGATTTTTACATGGCAGAAGGTTACACTGAGGTACCTTCCCCATAGGTAAGAAAATCTATGTGATTACAAAAGAAATATTGCAAGTAGAGATTTGCAGATCTCTAAGATTTGTTTTGGCCTACTGGTCCCTCTGGTAGTAAGTTTTGAGACACGGCAAAAGAAAGTGTTTACAAATCTAAACAAATTTATTTATTTATTTTATTTTATTAGTCATATTTCTATGCCGCCCACTCTCCGAGGACTCTGGGCGGCTTACACCAAAGACAGTATACTAAATAGCATATTGCCCCCAACAATCTGGGTCCTCATTTTACTCACCTCGGAAGGATGGAAGGCTGAGTCAACCTTGAGCCGGTGAGATTTGATCCGCTGATCTGCTGAACTAACAGTCAGCTGAAGTAGCTGCAGTACTGCACTCTAACCACTGCGCCACCTCGGCTCTTGCAATGAGGCAGATGGAAATGCATTTACTTTGAGTAAATGTGTGAGATGGACATGAAATATTTTCATCTTGATTGACCTCTAAAATACTCAGCATATGTTCAGTGGCACCTGAATGGTTTTGCTCCATTCATCTTTCCAATCAGCCTCCATGTTTCCAGTGTCTTTCTCCCCGCTTGGAACTGAACCAGATTGATATTTCTTCTAACAATGCCTTTTCATTTTGCTTCCTTTTTATAATTGAAAGCCTCCTACAGCAGCCCCATGGCAAGATAGACTGCAAATAAGTTTAACAAATAAATAAATATAAGTTGATTAGCAGTTCATTTAGATTGCACATATTTGAAAAAAAAGAGGGAGCTACAAATGTGAATGGCAGGTTTGCATAATTCTGGTCATAGACAAAATTGATGGAGGTGGACTTTTTGCAGCTAGCTGCTAACATATCTTTGCTTTCTTTAGTTCAGCAAGCATCTGATGCTTCATTCCCCAAGAGGTCATGAGCAAAAGGCAAATATGATAGCAAAACTCAAGAGTCCGTGTTTCTGAAAATTTCTTGCCAATGTTTTGACAGAGGAAAAGGGACTTTCCTTGAGTGTGCTATTTATTGTTCTGCTTAAATTTTTCCATGAAGTACTATTTTGGCATTTCACTTTCTTTCCAGAACAGAACACAAATAACATAGTTGGAAGGGATCTTGGAGGTCTTCTAGTCCAACCGCCTGCTCAGGAAGAGACCCTCTACCATTTCAGACAAATGAGTGTCCAATCACTTCTTAAAAACTTCAAGTGTTGGAGCACCCACAACCTCTGAAGGCAATTTCTCCTTAGTTCTTGGTTGGTTCTCTTCTTGATTAGTTTCAATCCATTGCTTCTTGTCCTGACTTCAGGTGCTTTGGAGAATAGGCTGACCCGCTAGCACAGTGTTTGTACGGCAATAAAAAGGCAGTGCCTCCTTACCTCAGCCCCCTCCACTTCTTAATCTCTTCAAAAAAAACTGTCCAGTGATGGACCACCCACACCTCACGATGGATCACAGAAAGGAGGGTGGATGTGACAGATAGTCTATTATAAGGTACAGATTTTCTATCTTCAATAAACTTAAAAAGCTTTATCACTTGATGGTGCTTAACAGAATTCCGGAATATAGCAGGTGTTCTTATAATGTTTATGATTCAGACTTTCTATTTCTGTTGTAAATGTACTGCTGTTCAGAATTAGAACATTCACATACCCCAAAATCTACTTTAAAAACGCTATGACAATCATTTTCTTACAACATTTTCCTTTCAGTCAGAACATCTTAAGGTCAAATAATTTTCTTTCAACCGTACAACCTTACTTTGTCTGTCTGATTCAGGATTTCACTCTGGCAAGCCCTTTTGTTTCCAAGTACTCTTAATAGGTTAGGTGCGCTGTAGTATGAATGCTTGCTGCAATTAAATTTTACCCCCCACTCTTCTTTGCCATGGCAGGAAGCTGATGAGTTAACTCCTTTGGAAAACTACCAGCTGCTGTTGCTGCCACACTTCAAGAATGAGGAAAGTGTGAGTGTTTTCTTTACCTTTAATTGAGGTTTTCCATTCCGCTCTTGTGGGATTTTCATTTGATTGGCTTTATATAATTCACACAACAAAAAATGGGGGGAAGTAAGCCAGAAGCCTTGTTAACACTGCCTGCTGTTAACGTGGCTGATGTTGACTTGATATTGTTATGCTGCATGGATGTCATTGTGGTTTTCATCCATCATATTAATGAATACTTAACACTCTTCTAGCTCACTAAACCGAGTCAATCCATACATCCTCCAGACATCAGCTATTTCTTTAACTATAAAGATTTATCCATCATAATGCCACTTATTATTTTGAGAAGGGTGTTTGGGGCTATTAGTGTCAGACCCAAATTGGTGGTTGAAGATGTTCGTTTGTGAGTTTCAAGAGGGGGGGGGTTCCTTCGTCATGGAGAGATCATTGGTAGCTTCCTATAAAGAATATAGTCCTCGTTCACAGGCAGGGGCGGGTTTCAAAACACATCGCTACCATTTCGCACATGGGCGCGTGTGCGCTCATGCGCACGTGACACTTCTATGCATGTGCAGAAGTGTCCGGGCAGGTGGGCGGAGCCTCCCACCACCACCACTACCAGTTCGCCTGATCGAGGGCGAACCGGTAGAACCCACCACTGTTCACAGGGCTTTAGAAAGGCATGCTTTCCAAGTACATTAAAAAGAGGCAAGGAGCCAGGGGTTTTTTTTGAGGGGGAAAATCACAAAAGCACAAATGTGGGGGTTTTTTTAAGCAGGTTCCTTCCACTTTGCTGCTTCAAGCAAATGTTTGAAGATGTTGGAGACTCCAGAATGTTTTTTTTCCCTTTTGCTAGCAAAGCTAATTTTCTAAAAGCACTGATTCAGTTTTACAAAAACTAGCAAGGAGGGAATGGATTCTAAAAGGTTCACTTTATCAGAAAGTATCAAAACATGCACAGAAAGGGTATTTAGGATGCTAAATGATGCTCAGAGCTGCTGGAGCTGTTGATTTAATACCCATTTGGCAAAAAAAAACAAAAACGTTTCCCATCTGTGTTGACGTGAATGTTCGTTGAAAAAAAAACTAAGAGCACAATGGTTAAACCTGGAAATCCATCCATTATTCCATTAAACTATAACCATGGAAATGTAATTAATAATAATAATAATAATAATAATAATAATAATAATAATAATAATGAGGAGGAGGAGGAGGAGAGGAAGAGGAAGAGGAAGAAGAAGAAGAAGAAGAGAAGAAGAAGAAGAAGAAGAAGAAGAAGAAGAAAGACACAGCCAGTGGTGGGTTGCTACTGGTTCTCCCCGGTTCTTGCGAACCAGTAGTGGAAATTTTGAGTAAGTTGAAGAACCGGTAAATACCACCTCTGCCTGGCCCCACCCCCAATCTATTTGCTGCCTCCCGAGTCCCAGCTGATCAGCTAGAAGGAAAAAATCAGGGCTCACTTGACAAAGAAGAGAAAAGAAAAACAAGACACCTTAGCTTTAAATTGAGAAGCCAAGAAGCCTCCCAACTGATCAGCTAGAACCAATCCGCTCCTTGTAAACCACTTGGTGGTTGTAGATTGGCAATTGAGGCCAAGCTGCCTGAAAGCGGTTTCCGATGCTCTCGGTGATGGCAGAGCGGAAAAAAATGTTTAAACTCTTGCCGTGGCGCTTCAAAGGGCCTCCCTACAGCTGATCAGTGGCAAAAGGCAGTGTGGTGGACCAGTGCACTCCAAAAAGAAGTAGGAACACTCCAAAAACAAATGGGCAGACCGGTATGGCTCTGCAAGCAGTTAAAAGCCTGGTAGACCAGTACCTCTGCTAAATCCTAAAGAATTGTTTGTCACATGACCATCAAACCACACCCACAAAACAAGCCACGCCCACAGAACTGGTAGTAAAAGAAATTAGAACCTACCCCTGGACACAGCTGTTAGATGGGCTCACAGTTGACTGAATGACTAGTCCCACAACATTTCTATTAGATGGGCCACTTTTCAACTTGGAGGAAAGTATTGAGAGGAGTGTCACAGATCTCTGTCCTGATTGCTGTACCGTAAAAAACTTTTTTAAATTAATTACTTGAATGAGGGATGCTTAACATGAATTGTATGGAAGAAGAAGAAAAACCCATGTAACATATAATACTTGGGCTACTGAATATGGAGGGCAAAGTAATCCAAACTGAAGCATCCACAACAGTAAACTGTGGAGTCTCCCCTTGAACAAATCTAGCAAAAGTTAGACAGAGTACTTGATTTCATTGTTGAACTGCCCATGCTAGCAATAGCAGTAGCACTTAGACTTATATACCACTTCACAGTGCTTTACAGCCCTCTCTAAGCGGTTTACAGAGTCAACATATTGCCCCCCAACAATCTGAGTTTTTACCAATCTCGGAAGAATGGAAGACTGAGTCAACCTTGAGCCAGTGAGATTCGAACTGCCAAATTGCAGTCAGCCAGCAGTCACCAGAAGTAGCCTGCAGTACTGCATTCTAACCACTGGGCCACCACAGCTCTGTTTGAATTTGTTTCCTAACTTCCAATAAAAATCTTTTTTTTCTTCTAACTAAAATCTATTAGTCTGTGCCATATCCTCTGTAATGATACAGAATAGATCTTTACCTTCTGGGTGACACACTTTCAGATATTTGTAGAGTCTCTCACCTCTTCCCTTTTCTCTAAAGCAAACATTTCTAGATCTTTGAATCTCTCTTTTTATGACTTCATCCTCTCTGCCCTTCTCTAATCTCTCTGAAATGGTCTAATTTTTTTCTCAAAAGCGCGTTGTCCAGAAATGGACATTACACAAAGAGATTTTCGTCAAACTAGAATAAAATGGAAGATTGATTTGATTTGGAACCTGTATTTTTGTTGTTGTTGCTGCTGTTGTTGTTAATGCCTAAAATAAGTATTAACTTTCTTTGCAATACATCACACTGTTGACTCATTGTCCTATTCCCGGATTTTTTTTCACAAGTACTATCATCAAGCCAGGTAACCCCAATTCTGTGCCTGTGCATATGATCTTGAGTTTTTTTCCCTCCTAACTTTGCATCTTTCCCTGTTAAATTCTGTCATCATTCTTTGAAATTTATTTCTATCATTTTAGATAAATTGTCTCACCAGGTTTATGTCATTGCCAAATCAAATAAGAATTTCCTTTACCTCTTTATTAAATATATGTATAAAATACATATATTTTATACAATACATACATATATATATATAATACATATATATTATGAAAAGTATAGTACACTTGACTTGAATCTCGACACTGCTCTCAGTATCTTCTGCCTCTTTGATAAAAACCTATTGATGGGCATAGAGTTTTTAAGATCGCAATAAATCCGCTGGATTATCCTTACAGTCTAACTCACCATTAACTATTTTGGCAATATGGGAGGCATTTGCATATATATAGATTTGCCAAATTCTGTATATTGTAGATAAATGATTTGATTAAGCAACAATACTGGTCAGAGGTCGGTAAACGTCAGTAATGACATGTAGTCCTGGTTTGCATATTTTCTTGATCTTGCTTGTCCCCTGCACCAATATCTTTCCTGGAGCAAAAAACAAACAAAGATGCTATAATTATGCCTGCTCCAATGCAGAATCTATTTTAAACACATATAAACCGCATCATGGCTGAGGTTTTCTGTAAAGAACAATTTAATTTTATTTTCATTCCACAGCTCCGTAACTTTATTTACAGAGCCTCAGTTCCAGCTGTATTAAGGTGAAGATGTGCTATCTCAGCACCTCTTAAGCTTTTGTATACTCCCAAACTCTACTGCTCTCAATTCTTTGTAGAAGCTATGAATATACAATATACCTTTAAAAATCAGGAATACCTGTAGCTCGAGAAGCTTTTTCTGTTCAAAATAATCTGTTTATGTATCAGTGTCAACTCTTAGCAACTACTTACAATTTCTCTGGGATGATCTGTTTCTTTCCTATCCCAAAGAAATTCCTGGTGTTCTCCTTGAAAGTGGTGAGTATTTGCCCTAATCGTATGAAATCTGATTAGCTTGACTTGAATTTCCACATGAGCTGTTCGTGGTATGCTCCACAGTTAGTCCTGGCAAAACTTTCATTGTATAACTAAGCTCTTCCACTTCCTTGTATTAATAATATGGTCAATTTAATTTCTGCATACTCAGTAATAATATCATATTTCAACCTCCAATCTTTCTATCTAACTCTTACTTTATATAAAGGTGTGTATTCTTATTTCTACCTCTATTCTAGTTTTTAATTAGGCCATCATTATATTAACAAAAAAAGAAAGAAAAGAAAAGAAAGTAATAATAATTCCTTTCTAGCCATCATCTCTTACCCATTTTAATACTTCAATTCTTATTCATTTTTTGGCTTGCCTCCCATACTCCTCTCTTGGATCTTTGTCTCTATTAGCATCTGTGTCTTCATCATTCAATCTGAATATTTCTCCCATTTTTATCCTCCTAAGATGTCAGGTCTCCCAAGTGTCCATCCAAACCCCTATCTCCTTTTCAAAAGTATCTTCCATCTTATCCAATTCCATTTTTAAGTCTCTTAAAGTACTTTCCCCTAATAATCAATATCTTTATTGCCTTCTCCTTCTCATCCTCTTGCTTTGTTTGCTGGTTTGTCTGTTCTATTTTTTCCTCCATTCTTTCTACTTTCTCCTCTCTTTCCTGGACTCTTTGATCTTCATTCATTATCAGTTGTAGCATATTTTCTATTTTCTCATTTATGTCTTGTATTAGGTTCTTTATTTCTCTATGATTTTTTGTCATAGTACCCCATATGCTTTGAAACATCAACACCATTTCTCTTGAAATCTCACTTATTTCACTCATTTTCCCCTAATGGAGCATCTTGTCTTATTTTAATAAGTCCTGCTCTTACTCAAGTTCAGAAACAATATTTTCAAATCCAATGTTGCTCCTCAGAAAGTTCAATAATCATAGTTCTTTATATCTCAGGATTATTAATCAGTTCCATTTAAGTAGTCCAGGCAGCTTCC